TCCGCGCCGGGCAGCGCTGCGGGGCGGCTCCCGCGCTCTCCTGCCCGGGTGGCAGCGGTACCCCGCAGCTCCCCAGCGACCCACAGCGCCCTGCGACCCGCGGCGTCAGCGGTGCCCGCACGGCCCATCGAGGGGTGGCAGCGCCCGGGCGCGGGGCCGTCAACCCGAAGCTCCGCGGGCACCCGAACTTTCTTGCGATAAAAGAAGTTTCAGAACGCCCCACGTTCGCGTTTCAGAGTCCTGAGGGACTCTCGCGTTCTCTGCCCAACGCTCATCTCCTCTTCCTGCCCCGAAGATTTATTTTTCTTTTTTTATTAGTAGTATTTCTAAGACGTTATGGTGAGCTACAACCGCTCATTCTGCTCCAGGTCTCCTTCAATCCCGGCACGTTAAAAACACTGAGATCCCTGAGTTGCCCCTTCCTCTCTTAAAAAAAATAAAAGTCCCAAGCTCTCACTAAAAAAAAAAAGAAGAAAAAAAAAAGAAAAAAAAAAGGAAAAGAAAAAGCAGGGCTCCAGGGCAGGTTTAAGCCGTATTTACACGGACTGACTCATCCAATTAACATTCAGGAGCAGTTTCCTGCAGGATGGAGCTCCCACACGCCCGTTTCCATGCGGAACGCCGCCGAACACCGCACTCCGCAGCCCGGCCCGGCCCCACCGCCAAGGGGCGACACCACCACGGCCCCGCGCCCCGACCCGCGCCCCCGTCCGCGCACACGCACACGCGCGGAGCTTACTCGGTGTTAGCAGCCGCCGTCTCCTCGCTCATTTTCCCCTCACCGTGATCCGAGGCGGAGCAGCAGCAGCGGGGCGGCCGGGGCGCAGCCAGAACTCACCAGAAACTTCACCATTGTTCCCCCCCGCTCGCCCCCAGCCGCAGCCGGGCCGGAGCGGTCCGGGTCCCGCAGAAGCACGAAGCCGCCGTATCCGTGCGGATGGCGGAGACGGCGATGCAACGCTGGCGCGGCGCTCCGCTCTCTCTCTCCCGCAGTTACTGGGAAGCGGCGCGGCGGCGCCCAGGCACAGCTCCTCGCCGCCAGGCGCAGCGCCGCGCCGTCCTCCCGCCGCCGCTCATCGCTCGCCGCGCTGCCGCCCTCCTTCTCCTCCTTCTCCTCCTCCTCCTCCTCTTCCTCCTCCTCCTCCCGCCCTCTCTTCTCCGCCGGATTCCTGCAGACGGCCGCGGCCCGGCGACGGGGGAGGGGAGGGGGGGCCGGTGCCAAGGAGGAGGCTGGGGGGGGGGGGGGGGGGAGGGCGGCGTTTTAAGGCGGCTCGGGGGTGGGGGGAGGGCCGGCAGCGAGGGGCTGCGTCACGGCGGTGCGGTATGGTGCGGTGCGGGGGTGCGGCAGGGAGAGCCCCCGGCCCGCGGAGGGCTGCGGGAAGTTGGGCGCTGCGCTCCTCGCTCCGCCGCCCCCTCACAGGAAAACTGGGCGGAAGCGTCGGCTTCGGGCTCCTTCCGCCGCCACTGCGCGATCCAAAATAACCGCAGGGGAGCGGGGCGGAGGGAAGTGGGTGGCCCCCCCGCACACCCCTCCCTTACACTCCTCCCGCTGCCCGGCCGGGTGCGCCGCTCTCCCTGAGCCCCGCTGCCGCTCGGCTCTCCCAAAGTAGTTCCCGCGGCTCTGCCTCACGCCATTCCCGGGAGCCGCCGCGGAGGGATACGTGCCACAGCGCTGTGAGCTGAGTGCTGAGTGGGGCGCCGCGCGGGCCGGGACCGGCGGGCTGATGGGTACCCCGCGGGGGAGCTGTCGCCGGGATCCATGTGCGCCGGGCCCGCGGGATGGAGGCGCGAAGAGGGGCAGGTAAGAACGGGGGAGCGGCGCGGTGGGGGCTGACTGCGCATCCGCTACTTCTGAGGCACTTCTCCCAACTCCAGCCCCGTTCCGTTTTTCCTGGAACCGCTCATTCCCCCGCTGCTGCACAGCAGCGATGAGCTGTCCCCTTCCTGGGCGGAAACGCACCGGTTCCCACGCGGCCGTCCGCGGACTGCTGCCCCCGGGGGGTGGGGAGGCGGAGGGAGCGCCTAGGGCAGCGCCGGTAGCGGAGTGAGGAGCGCAGCCCTACCGGGGTTGGAGGGCGGTTCGTTGGAATGATGTCCAGAGACTTTTTCCGGACGGCTTTTCCTTTTTTTTTTTTTTTTTTTGTTTTTCTTTCGTGATTGAAAGCTCTGAGAAAAAGTTGAAGAAAAAGTTCCTGTCAGATTTTTGAAGGAGGAATTCTTTTTGGAGGGGAGGTTCATAGAATCGTTAGTTAAAACATTTTAAATAGAACCTATTTTATGTATATGTATATATATATAATCTTCTCTTCCAGGCAAAAGAAGGCATGGGTGGTTTACATTCACTGTAACATTCCTGTTCCAAACTCCAAAGGGGCTCTGCCATCAGCGTGATGGAGCAGTCATAGCAAGCTACTGTCACGCCGCTCTTCTCAGTGGCCCACGTGGCACGTGTTTGCACGCATCCTAAACGTGCCCTGTGATGCTCTCTTCCTTATCAGGGCAGCTTTTGGAGGAAATTTTCTAATTGTTTAGTAAAAACATTTTTTTTCCTAAAATGGTACAGTCAAAAATGGATCGGTTATTCATGGCACAATCTCATCTAAATTCTAAAAATATACCAGAAACCCAATTTTGCACAATATTACAATTCTCAGTGATTCAATGCATGATTTGAATACAGGAACCTCTTGCCTGCTGCCCTAAAAACGTGTTTTGAAACTCAGCTGTGGGGACATCATGTTACTCTACCTGGCAGCAAGAAATCTTTTAGAGTATTTTCTGCCTTGCGATGTGCAGATAATGTTCTGTACAGGAGTGCTCAGGAACCAACTCCATTTGTCATACAGCTCTATTCAGACACCTCTGAAAAAAGACGTGATGATGACAGAAAGATAGAGAAATCTGCTACGTTTTTTTAAATACCTTAAATATATTTATTGTAATAACACTTTTCACCCTGACAATTCAATAAAATGAACTCGTTTGTAATCTGGCACAAATAATTAAAGCTTTTAAGAGTGTCTACATTAAGAATAGAGTGTATGCATTTATGAACTGCAAATGTGATATTAGCCGCACAACTTTCAGGGATCTGCATGAAGGAGGTAAGTGGAGAGGAGCTCACTGCTTCTTTACCTCTTTTAGCTTCTGCACATGATCTCATGGCTCTGTACACATAGCAGAAGTCTTACAAACAGTTTCTGTCTCTATCTGAATGTCACAAAGAAGACAGAAAAACTGTTGGTTTGTATCTTGCATCAGAAATCCTCTTCGCAGAAATTGGGAACATCAGAAAACTTATATGGAGTGGCCTTTTGCTGGGCAGCAGTTGGTTTCAGAGCCTTCTAGTTTTGTGTTTTGGAGCAGAAAATCAGATGTTTCGTTGTCAGTGGCTCATTTGAAAAATATCTTTGAGCCCCACCCATGCAAACAGGGCAGAAGCAAACCAGGCACAGGTGACATCATCCAGAAACCTCAGATAAACTGCCACTTCGTGTCCTAAGTGCCACATGCTCTGGGACTTCTCTTCCTTCAAGAGTCACACAAAGTCAAACAGATAGACATACATTCTGTGACTGCATTTGGTTGTTACAGACTTGACTATTTAAAAGTTATGAATGGAAATCTGCTCGGAAAAAAGATCTTTAGTTGCACGTTACAAGAACTAATTTATACCTCAGAACCATTGCTCTGCTTTGACATTTTGACAGCTGTGGGCCTTGGACTTGCAAATATTCTCTGGCCCTGGTTCTAGAGACACTTTTAAATGAGAAATGTAAAGCTCATCAGCTCTTATCTTTAAAAGTGGGTGGTTAACAGGAATACTTACAATGAGGCAGCAGTCTATGTTGGAAAATACATTTACTAAGCAGGTCTAAAGTATGTTTCTTATGCTACTACTGAACAAAGGACTGGTATATATTCTGCCCAGGGTGCTTATTTACCATTCCTTTAAATGGTTGCACTCATGTCTGTGACATCCCAATGGAACAGATGGTCAGCAGTGCTTGTGCCACATAGCGGGCCACAAATCTGTCGCAGAAGAATTATATAGAGAAGATGTTATTACAAGGGTTAAATTGCATAATTCTGATCGGCATGGCATCCACATCTTAAAATCCGTAATAGGATCAGTGGCAGTAATGCCATCCAGATCAGTCAGTCATTGCAGAACTTAAATGACCAATTCTTACTTAAGGTTTTAACTCCTACGTGTAAAAGTGTTGAAATCTACCTCCACAAAACAGTGATCGTTGCACTCACATCTAGATTCTAATGATGAGTTTACAAAAAATGGAAGTGGTATGGGCATTCTGCCACTTTGAAGTAAATGATAACATTAGGGAATCTTTTTTGTAAGAGCTTCCATTCAGAATTAGAGTGTGAGATAAACGCTGGTGGTCATTATACACGTTCTAATAAGGATTTAACAAAACTGAGCTGATTTAATCTATAATAGTATTTTCAGCAAAGTCGGATTCTGTTAAATTCTCATCTGGAATCTTGCTTCTGCATACAGGATAAAATGGTGGGTTTTTGGAAGGCCAACTTTCTATTCGACCTAATAGCAATAGGACAAAGGGGAATCGCTTTGAACTAAAAGAGAGGAAATTTAGGTTAAATATTAGGTGGAAATTCTCTACTCAAGGGGTGGTGAGGCACTGAGACACAGGCTGCCCAGGGAGGCTGTGGATGCCCTGGATGTGTTCAAGACCAAGTTGGATGGCACCCTGGGCAGCTGAGCTAGTGGGTGGCAGCCCTGCCCACAGCAGGGGGGTGGAACTGGGTGGGTTCTGAGGTCTTTCCAACCCAAATCATTCTATGATACTTGATCAAATTATCTCCAAGATGTTTTCTAGCAAGACGCAAAACTACATTAGAATAAAATCTATGAATTTTTGTGTAGATGGCTCTAACTCAACAGAATATCAACATTTCATAAATTATAGTACTTATAGGCTGTGCTAGCTATAGATCTGTATGCTGAGTAGTGAACCACACTGGGGAATGCATTCGGGCGAAAAAGCAAGTGTAGGAAATAAGAAGTGATTGGCCCTTCCTGAGGTGCAGTTAAACATGGAGTGGGTAAACACCCAACAATGCCTGAGGGAACAGATAGCACAGAGGGGGATGAGAAAAGAATGGTAGTGCAAAACTGCTTTTGTTGGGACTAATTTGTGCTGGCCTGAAGCGTAGCCCTTGTGTGTGTGTCAAACTGGAGGGAAATTGGGGCCTCAGGACTGTGCTGTTGATTGCAACACAGCAGCTGAATGCTGCAGTTAGGATCAAGTGGGATAAAAATAAGGAATACTTCCTTGCTGAGAGGAAGAAATCAGAAAATATGATAAAGAACACATTTTGCTTTTAGTTGAGGATGCATGTTTCCCATTTCTGTTCACAGATGTACATCAATACTTAGTTCCAAGTCACTCTTTGAGGCAAAGGGAGAGGCAGAGACAAAATGGCTCTCTTGTACAGAGGCTGACAGGAGTGCTTCTTTCTGCTACAGACACTTTTCTTTTGGTGTGTTTGTCTTTGTAGCCCACGATCATGACTGCAGTGTGTGCAGGAGAGCCCCTCACATCTGTCTAGGATCTCCCAGAGATGCTGTCGCTCAGCTGGGGCTCCTGGGGCTGCCCTGGCTTCCTGCTGCTGTCCAGCTGGGAGGAGCACATCTGGCCTTGCCAAGTACCAGAGCCTGTGGAATATCTGAGTCATCTTCTGGAGATGCTTTTTTCTCTCCACTGACTCCATAGAAAGCCTAAAGCAAGTGTAGTTCTAGTTTAGATTATTTGGCAAGTTAAAATTAAGAGGAGAATTCAGGCCAGAAGACTTTTGGCCTCTTAGCACACTCCAAAGCTGTGGGAAGGTCGAGTATGCTAAAGGAGAGCACAGATGTGGAAGGACAGAAGATGATATTCATCCATCTCCCTCTTCTTTTCCCACAGTAATTTCTGGCCAAGATGAGTGATTCTGAGTCTGGAGTAGTGGACTGATGGAGTAAGGCACTATTTTATTGTTTCTCAAGTGTTCCAGCAGTGGATGCGTTTTTGTCACTATCTAGGCTAAGCCACAATGTCCATACATATATACATATATATAAAATGCACACATACACAACACATGGCAAATGGGAGAACTCCCAGAGCTCCACAGTTTCAATCCTTTCCTTTGAAAGTAGGAAAAAATATTACAAACAATTAGGAAAATAAGGGAAGAAAACAGACAACTTTTTATTATTATTAATAGCGTTAAGTAGTAAATATTCCGAGAAAAACACACAAATCTTATTTAGAATTTCATTTCAAACTTAACAGAAATGTTTCATATATTTCTTTTTGGCTTTTTTTGGACCTTTATTACTAATACCCAGAAAATCAGGTCCAAATGCCCTCAAAAGGGAAAGTCCCAAATACACTCTAAAATTCAAGTAGGGCCTGCTGGATAGCAGCTGGGGACAGATCCACTGCGGTCATATCAGTTTCTATAAAATAGGAAACAGAGGCGGATTTCTGCTCCACACGCAGCAACATGCTGTCTGGGGGAAGCTGTGGTGTGATGCTGGGTGCAGTCTGCACACTCAGCACTCCTGATCCTTCCCCAGCTCCACACCCCCGTGCTGCGCAGCCACTTGCAGTTTGTGTGCAGACAGCACAGCACGATGGAACAAGGGCCTGCAACGTGGTGGAAGATCTTTCAGCCCAGGCACCATGGTCCTTGTATGCGCACCTTTAATTCATTTCAGTGCACAGCTGGGAGGTTAGTTTAAACCCCCCAAAATCCAAGGGAGTTAGAGCAAAC